AGCATAAAAAATAGCATAATTCTGCAATTTTTTCAGCAATGCGAAAAGCATAATTTCACGAAAATATTAGCATAATCCGTCAAGGCCTAGGTGGGAGGGGGTTGACCAATTTCGTTTCAGAAAACATTGATACATGTGCATGCCCATAGGAGCAGTTACATACTTGCAACTTTTGTTGTATTATGCATGCATATGTCAAACTTTTTTTACGTTCTGAGGGGGAGGGAGGGAGGGGTTGGGTCTAAACTAAAATAATTCGTTTGGTGAAAAACGTTCGATATTTGCGGACGGCCCCTTACTACTACTACTACTGACTACTGACTACTGAGTACTGTACTAGTGTCACGTGACCGGTAACAGTCACGTGACTGTGACAGCGCCAGTACTGATGCACGATCAGCTAGATCACGTGATCAATACTGAACGCTGTGTGTGCGTAAAGACGTTTTTACATTTTAGGGTTGGAGTAGGTACATACATGTACACTGTACATGTAGAGTAGTAGCATTGTGAACGGTAGCGGTGATTGTGTAGTAGCGGTTGTCAGTTTTAGAGTTACACGCTAGCCGGCAGCAGTTCCGGCTGCAATACCTTGTTGCTGCAAAACTGACTTTTAGCCGCGCTGATGTTATGTGTTCAGTCATTCTGACCTCTGTCCTACCTTGACCATCGTCCTTGCATACGCAGCATCAAGACCACACTAGCTCTCAAGTAATGACCACCCGTCCCTCAGTTCGTCTGGCGACTACGTAAGCCAACTGCCACCAGTCCTCCCATAAACTCAATGCAGAGACCAGACGGCAGTATTGCTCATGAGTCATGATGCAAGGGACTTTGCAAGCTTGCTCAACGGTTACCGTTACGTGCATTTTACAACTGTCGCACCTAGTGACGAGCCACTTTGGTGCGCACCAGCTCTTGCGGACGCTGCGTTTCCCTTCCAATTACATCATGCATGCTGGAAAAGGTGGCAGATTCTGCTCGAAGAGCAGTGAAACTGGCAGAACCATGCAAACCATTTCTTTATCCACATACCAAACATGCATGAAACTTCCCAGAAAAAGTACGGAATTCTACCAATTTTTCTGCCGGCATTATCCGCATGCATGTACCTGTATGCCTAGTCTGTGGTGCCTTCTTTGCACCATGGCTGGTAGCTAGGCTTGCTTAAAGCTCCTAGCTGTATTGATGAGGCCTTTATGGCCTAAACAGCTTGCTGTCTACAGCATTGGGTATTTTCATCATTATTATTTGTCCATATTTCTACAGGGCAGTGCCCACACACCTATGATCTCCTTACGGGGTACCCTAGCCAATCTAGGATTGCGATACAAAATTGTCTTGGTGACTGAAGCAGCAAGGTGGATCGATGCCGGAACTGAGTTCCAGCGGTCAGAGGCTAAAAACGAAAGAGAGGAATAACCAAATCGAGAGCATTCTCGTGGCAGTACAAGTCCAAGAGAGTCTTGAGACCTTGTGCAGGTGTGGCTACGTGACTCAGAATTGGAACGAAGGCGGAAGAGGCAGCACAAAGGTGCACTGGTCTCGATCTGCTCTCGGTTTTTGTATTCCTCGTTTTCGATTTTAGCCTCTGACCGCTGCTTGTTATGTTTGTCTTTTGTTCTCTTTCCTTTTTCTCTTGTACTTTTTTTCCTTTCTCTTTTCTTTTTGAGTATTTGAAGTCTGTTTTTCTCTCTTTCGTCGAGGCTTGCTTGTTGTATCCTTGGCTTTTGGCCGTTACTTTATCGCCATTATAATAGTATGTACCATTGCCCGTTTGGTCTGCGATACAAAATAAATTTTCAAGAACAACAGCTGGCTGAAGAATGAATGGCGAGAGATGCGGCTTGGACTGTGCGCATTTCCTCAATCTCGACATGTACATGTATGAGTGAAATATGAAACGATTGCAGTTGTTTTCGTTGTGTGCCTTGCGATCATCATTTCATATTCTACTCATACATGTCGACATAGGAAATACAGTGCAATTAGTGGCCCTTGTTGCTATAAAACTACACCAACAACTGCTTTTTGGACTATTATCCGCCACGGACTAGCGCCGCGCTCTGCAACAGCCAGTTGGAGGATCCGATCATAATGACTCCGCTATTACCATGTGAAGTTCATCCACCGTCCGTAGAAGGCTCAATTTCCCGAAGGCAATGAGTGGAATACACAGGCAAAAGAAGGAGCAGTTGTTGTCAATCTATGATAATGCTATCACAGTGTTCAGCTCTGTGTGTGTATGTGTACATGTATGTGTATGTGTGTGTACGTGTACATGTATGTGTGTGTGCGTGCACGTGTGTGTACATGTATAATATATTACACACACTTGAGAGGGACGAAAAGCATTATATTATGTGGGAGTGTGCGTGTGTGGGTGTTGGATGAGCTGTCGAGTCTGCGTACCTGCATTACCATGTCACTAAACTGCCAGTAAAGTAGACGACGTAAAGCTCGCACATCTGCCAGTTACAACCGACTATACGATTGCGTCGAGCTGCCAGTTCTCAAGTTCAACTGCCTTGCTAACCCGGCCACGCTCAGGTTTTATCGCTAGCACAACTGTAACGTCACGAGTAGACGCAAGACTAGACGTTACAGCCAATAGCTATCATGGAATATCGATTTGTTGTGGTCACGAAATCGGCATTGGTTGAGGAGCAACAGGAGATGTTCTTGTAGAAGACCCAAACGAAAATACCGACCGCAGGTATTATAAGGAGGCCCAGAGAAGCGCGAGTGGATTTCGCCTTTTCTGCATGCGATGTTTGTGATGCTATTCCTTGCTGGCCGTGCATCGCTACAAATCATTACTACGACTGCAGACAGGACATGGGTAGTGTTGGGCATCACATAAATGAGCGCTAATGACATCCGTGACATTAGATTAGCGGTTTTAGGCTAGCAGACACTAGCGTAGCAGTGCAGCGTGTCTACTGCCTACTGACCTCAGTAACGCTCATGATGATCTAGCGAGCAGGAATCTGCCTTCCTCACTCACCATCCCACTCATCTACTGTAACTGAGCAGGAGTTGTGTTGGAACGCACGGCCAGCTTCAGGGTTACGAAAACAGTTACTAACAATGACACCGCCATGTAAATGTGTCTACCTGTCACGATCTCTATGGCGGTAGACAGACCTGTTAGGTGGTCGCTCATCCACGGAAAGTGGCTCCAGAGTAAGAAAGTCACACTGATGTTCGTGTATTTGCTAAGTCGTTCCTGGAGGGGCGAGCCAAGCAGCTGCCCAGGATCTGCACTGAAACGTTGTGTGGTAACTCAAATCAATGGTGTACTGACACGGCCTATTAGATATTTCGTATGCACTGACTCAAAACTGACTCCAGTGTGTTCCACGGCTTACCGCATGATGGTACATGATGGTACATGGGTGGTTAAGTGTCATACAGCAGTAACACTGAGTGTCATACACCCATGCCCACTGACAGTACAGTGCAGTGTGTTACTGTTAGGTGTGCAAGACCAGCGTTCCGTCCACGTGTAGAAACGTTCCCCCTGTCTTCGGAGCGTGTCCTGGCGACACACACACCGCTAAGTTCCAGTCGCCAATGCACAGCCGTTCTAACTGCACAGGCAATGTGCCGATGAGGCTCCATCGTTCACGCCATACCGTGTAGACGTTGTGCTGTACTTGATCGGGCGGATAGGTACCGGCTATCCAACTAATCCACCTTGCGCTGGCGCACATCCGGGATTAGGCATAGCGCAAAGAGAAGATTTACTAACAACCCGATGGTGGTGGAGATGTAGAGATGATGGAATTCCGCTGCCAGCACGCTACACGGTCTTACAAACGAGCACGTAGGCATCCAGGTGACGACGACTGGCACCATACGTACTCCGTACACGGAACCATAGCCACTAGAGAAACTCACTATTTCTAGTGGCCACCCTCACCAGATCAACCCGTATGGTAGCGACCAGGGTTTAGTGGTACCGATTGCTCTTAGCGCTGCTAGTGCTACTACATGTACTTATGATTGATGGTTCTGCGGGCTTTAGCGTACTGTATGGGTCGTACTTGCTGGGCACTACTACTAGTACTAGTACTCCGTTCCTATGGTGGTGTCCAGGTGTCGGTACTGCAGAAACAGAACCTATGTCATGCCGTTCACTGACTCTCTGCATGTACATGATTGTACACCAATCTAAACCTAGTGCACTACTAGTGACTGTGTAGCAGTAGAACAGAGTTACATGTCGATCTCGAGTAGGACTCATACTATTCTTCCGGGGGACAAAATGACCCGGGCTAGTAGAGTACTATTATTGGGAAGCATAGCGCACACGTACCCGCACGCTACAACTAGCGCACGGTATGTGAGTTATTGGATGAGGTAATCGGAGAGCACATAGCATGGGAACAAAACTGTTTCTGTCGGCACGTATTTGGGGCACATACATGATTTTCTCCTCTTCCGACACGTGCCCTTGGCGAGTTTTCTCTGTATGTTTTGTGTGTACGCCAGTAACGCGAGTGCGTGTATGTTTGCGCGCGAGCAGGAGAGCATTCCACGCCTGTCGCGAACGCGTGCGACTGTCAGTTTTGAATACGATTTAGTGAGTTTCTTCAGGCTCGCTGCTGCCGCCCCGAGTCGCGCCACTTTGTGTGATCTTTCGAGGCAGCAAGTCTTTCAATGTGAATGCAAATTCCAACATCTACCGTCCATCGCACGTAACTTAACGGCCAGAAATCCCTACACTAAAACGCTCGCACGAAGTTTCGCCACCCCCATCATACTCGTACGTACACCGAGTGGGACTGACAGAGTGTGAATATCGGGCGAAGAGCTAGTCGCCGGAGTGCAGGGCACCATTCTAAGCTCTAACCGTCTCACAGTATTATAGTCGATACGCTGAGGCAGTCGTCACAGATCTTGCGCTGCAATTGACCTACTTGGCAGTAACGTCCGTGTATGGAGTGGTGAGAAATATTTGTTACCCTCTCCGAACCACGCACAGATGAATAGCGTCAAGCTGGGTTGATGTGGGGCTGATATCCTTTCAAGCCTGTCTTGCAGGTAGTAATACAGAATATCCGTAGTCCAACCAGTGGATTTAGTTTTAGTTGAGCTCCCTACCTTTATCCAGTGGAATACAATGGAATGCTGCTTTGCCCAGTGAGGACTGTACTGGATGCCGGGGAACTTTGGGTTTAGAAGAGTCACGGGATTGCCTCTAAGAACTGCTGTCATGTACGCTGCGTGTGCAGAATGTAGGTGTACGTCCTAGTGACAGCTAAGCTAGCACATACTACCCAGATCTCTAGTCTACTCTACTCTAGGCCAGAGAAGGTGGTCAAAATCTTCAAGTTCGACCTGTCCACACTGACAACAACCTGAAGAGGCCAGTACTTGCAGAGAAGGTTCCCAGTCAGCGCAGCGCTTGCAACGAGCCGGCTGCCAGCAACGTCGAACAACCTCCCGAGTCCTGCACTTTAGGCTAGCGAGCTGTAGCAGTAGTGCCCAACGTCTAGTGTACATCGTGTGCAGACTACCGCCGAATTCTGCACTCTGTACTCTACTGCAAGGCGTTATAACAGCACAGCCTGACAGGGCAAGATACAACAGCACACACAGGGCACACACACGCACTCGTACACTTCACGGCGAACACAGATTGCGCTTCAAGCTTGCATCACGCCCCGGGGCACAACCTTCTTGCTGGCAGATGGCGGCCGCGCGCCAGTAAACGGTGGGTAATGTGTGGTGCTTTCGCCTCTCTGTGTCTCTGAGTCTGATACCTCTGCGACTCCGTACATTGCGACAGTCTCTCCAGACCGTCTTGGTTCTCATGAAACTCTGAAAGCTTTGAAAGGCCCCGCCGTGACAAGATTGTACTATAAATATTATGTACGTGCACTCTTATGATGCTGTAATTCCGAAATCGATTCTCCATGTTTCTACTGTCCCTGGAGACTTAGACCTTTCTGCACGCTAGTATAATGCACGTGTAGATTTAATGAAGTCACAAGGAGGAGTGATCCATGTGCAGTTTCCACTCCAGATTCTCTGAGGCTACCGCCCATGTGTCTTTCTTCTTATTCTGCTCAGGGATCGACTGCAGGCGATCCCCATATGTACATAGCAGCTATCGCTCGCGTCCAATACGAGCTGGTTGACACCATCTTGGCAAACCACGGACTGAGTCGGCTGAGATACCAGGTAAATCTCCCAACTGCCCATCCACCGACACAGTTCTGAACAGCCGCTAAGCCTCACTGCTCCAATCCACACCCCCCACGATTACCAATCACCTCCAGCAGTCCTTGTGCGCAGCAAGATCAACATCGGCATGGTGCTCTACCCATGTCATTGAGCAACTGATCCCGAAAACTGATGCTCAATCTCTCAGCCGAGCACGCTTACCCTTGTACCCAGCTACAGGAGGAGCACTACTGCGTTTGGCTATCGGGCACACACAGGGGAATTACTTGGAGACTTAGTGTTGCTGCTCCAGTTAGCGAAACCATAACTAGTTTATCCTGCATAGATCTACTGCGGATGGCGTCAAAGATGATTGCCACCATCAGGGGTTGAGAGAAGCGGCGGCAGCAGTCGAAGACGCGGTCCGGGGCCAACCTAATTTTCCCAGCGCTGGCTATTGTGTGCGCAGTCGATCATCGGTGCTTGAGACCATCAATCAAGCTGAATTGCTTCATGTATTTGATCTGCTGGCTGCACAACCTTCCGATCAGCTAACCAGAGAGCTTATTAGCATCGCTATTCTCCTAATGGCCGTGAAGGTTTGACTCCGAACATATTAGCGGCGAGTATTGTTTCGTTCTGTGAGTTCTTGCCACTTGGTCTGTATCGGTATAACACAGCAGCTGCTTCTGCAACAACCCTTAGAAACTCACTGCCTTGTGTCAAAGTTCTAATTAGTCCGCGGGACGAAATGAAGAGTTGTTACACGCAAGTATAGACTGCGGCCTGGTCAGAGTTGATAGCGCGGCCTTCTGCTTTCCCCTCGGGCGAGATACCACGCATCGGAGTGTGTGCGCACAACTAGATGACTGTCGGACGGAGTGTCTGAGCCCTGGCAAGACGTGGTCACTGGCCTCCAGCTCCAGCAGCCATGGGCAAAACTCGCAGAGCGTTCTCCGTGTCCGAAAAGCTCAAGGTGGTCAACTGGCATTTGGCGAATGGAGAAGTTGTGAAGAAGACCGCCCGAGAGTTCGATTTGAATCCCAAACATGTTAGAGATTGGCTGCAAAGTCGACCGATCCTTATTCAGAATAATTTCGGCCCGACGCGAGGAAAGCTGCGTTTGTACAGCGGAAATCGCGCAGCCTGGCCCAAACTCGACCAAGAGGTTTACCAATATTTCACGGCGAGGCGCGCGGCCAGTCTCAAGATCTCCGACGATGACCTGAAAGAGTTCGCACTGCAGCGCGCCAGGGAGCAGTGTCTCAGCAAGTTCACGGCCAGTAACGGATGGCTACGACGCTGGAAGCTCCGCCACGGGGTGCGCGTTCGTCGCGGAGCAAAGCGCACGATACCAGTGGAGAAAGAAGAGCAGCTGACGGCCTTCTTCGACGCTGTGCAGTCGCTACGAGCGGAGCACAACTGCAGCGATGAAGCCATTCTTCTAATGCATCAGCTAACGGTCAGGTAAGAACTTTGTTGAGTTTTTAGATGTTTGTCTTTTAGCTGGGGGTTTTTAGGCAAGAATATTCCGAAGGTTTGCTCCAAGTTCTCCCGTTGCACTTGAAGCATTTCGCATGGTTACCTTGGCGTAACCGTCTCCAAAGGTCCGGCTGAATGCAGCATAAATCTTTGGATACGTAGTTTTCCATTTGCCGAGTGTAACGGGATAGACCTTGGCGTAGGGTCGTCGCTTCTGCAACTGAAATTATTAATTTTCTTTTCATCGAAGCAAGCAGAAGGCTGCGGACACTGCTACGGTCTCGAAAGTTAGGCCAAGGTCTTCTCTAATTTTATTATAATTCTTCTGGGATTCGAAGGTGAAAAAAGGTTCGTATGTGGTGCTGAAGAGTTCCCCCGGGTTGTCTTCTCATAGAAACGGTGTTTTTGGTCGAATATTTGTTCTAGTCCCTAGTCTTGTCCCGATCCATTCGAGACCTACTACTCTTCGTCATTGATAGTTGTTCGAAAGTGTAGTTATCGTCCGTGGATGGGATGTCCGGAAGACGTTCGGTCGTGGACGTAGCGTTGGAGTTGTTTCAGTCAGGTGTTTCGCTCGTCTTTGTTTCCCCACCGTGTGGTACTACGGTCTAGATCGCAGTCTCGCCTGTGTGGATTTGCCCGTGTCCGCGTGCCCTTGCTTGTTGGATAGCTTAGTGGCGAACGTGTGTATTGTGTACACGTGTATGTGTGTGTGTGTGTGTTGTTACAACACGGTCAGGCATGTCGAGTGTCATGGTTGACTCCGATCGTAGGGCCACCTGCCTGCTTTCCACTTTGTAACTAGATAAGAATTGGGCACACTGCTCCAGGCGATGTTAGCTTAGCAAGTATCCATGCGTAAAGGGGTGGTGTCTGAGGTGTTAGCAACCCAGCAAGCAGCAGCCATGCAGAATGAATTATTGCTTCTGGCCCTGCTCTCACCAAAAGAGGAGAAAACCCCTCTCTCTCTCACACACACACACTCTATCTCTCTCTCTCTCTTTCTCTCTCTCTCTCTCTCTCTCTCTCTCTCTCTCTCTCTCTCTCTCTCTCTCTCTCTCTCTCTCTCTCTCTCTCTCTCTCTCTCTCTCTCTCTCTCTCTCTCTCTCGAAAAAGGCCTAGAACGAAATCCTAAGAGATCAGATGGGAACAAAAATCTTTAGGTCAGAAACATATATGCTGTTTTTTTTAGACTGGTGTGGAAAATGTACATGCAGATGCATGAGTAGAGAATTGGACAAGCTTCCAGTTGGTTTGTATTTAATACATAGGCAGAGTTATTGTTTTAGCATAGCCTATACTCTAGCCAAACCTTGTAAGGATGTTTGGAGAGTTTACCCTCCATTGGGTGTTGGTTAGCACCCTGCAACACGTAGTAAAGTTGTTGATTGCTATGATAAAGTTAGTATAGATTGTAGAGTGGTCTTGGATGGATACTGCGGGTATTGTCAGCCATGCTGGGGTCGTGTCTGTGGGTGTGTTTGCCAGCTTGTACTGCTCTGAACTCGTGGCCAAAGCCCCAGTGAATGTGTATGGATGCGAGACTTCCGCGCACTGCTCAAGATTTGGCGATTACTGTGGTGCTTAGCTGTGATCGGAAACCGTGGCGTGTGCACAATGTTCAAATGGGCAAAGTTTGTTGGCGATACTCCCATTCAGCATCACCGCAAACTCCACTGAATAGCTCTGGGCGAGCTTTAGCCCTGATTCAAACGTAACCCGCTTAGCTGAAAGGATTGTTTTCACTAAAACGTCGGGTTTTTCAAATTAAATTATTGGATTGAGTTTAGCACACAGGTTAGTGTGTCCCAAGTCGGCTCTCTAGTCGGTGAACACCAAACGGGTCTCATGGGGGAATTGAGCTGAGTGGGAAATCACTACCCCCCCCCCCAATCAAATATCACCAGTGTTCCAGTAGTATGTTTGTCCCAATGTGTTGAACAGTCAACCGGTTTTGCATTGAGTTGGGCTGTACTCCAGAGCCCCTTTCAGGCCACCACACGGGCATGTACAGGGCAGAAACATACCAACTGCTCCGTGAAAGATGGGGGGGGGGGGGGGCGTTTCAACACGCGTTCGTATTTTGAACCTGCCCTGCTGTCTGTGCAGCGGGGCTCGCGGGCGTGACACTCGCGCGGTGCATTCGTGCATGTTCCAGTCGTCGTATGTGGTGGCACCCAAGTGCCTTTGTAAGATAGTTTGTTTAATGTTTGTGTAGCTGTGGTGCACATGCTACAAATGGCATTATATCCTGTATCGGGCACTGGTTTTAGGAAGAATAGGTACTATCTTTCTTCGGGTCAAAGTATCTACTCTGTACAATGTACGTAATGTATGTGTAGGCTTCATGTAGGTAGCATCTGGGGAAGTACTATTTTTCCATATGATATGTACTCTTGCATAATGCCGGGAGTAGTTCTGTGTCGTAGAATAAGCACTCAAGGGCAATGCATGAAAAGAGCATGCTGTGAGACCCTACTGACAAATACCACTTTGCAATGACACAAAAGACACTTTTCCTGGACGTGCAATAAGTACTCTTTGGTCGTGTGATAAGTACAGCCGGCCGTTGACATTCTGCTGAGAGTGGTTCTCTTATACGGTACAGTTGGCTGAAGCCCCAGGGAGCGCTGACACCCGCACTACACTGTGTATCAGTGTGTATGAATAGCTGACACCAGCACTGCAGTGCTAAGTGTGACAGACCTGATGCTGCTATCTGATAGAGGTACACGCACACCAGGGGGCCATAGTTCTCCCAGGAATTCCTGGACGGTTCTTGAAGGGCCACCCCACATTGGGCAGTACTACACATTACATCAAAGCCATGGCGCTGCCCATCATACCACCCTGCATGGGCAGGCACAATCCCTGACAGAGCAGCCACACTACGCAATGCACCAGTACTGTGCAGAGCACCATGTGTAGCAGCACTACGCCATGCACAGCCACCGTGAGTGAGCGGCATCTTAGATAATATTTTACACCTTTACACGGTACAGAATGTGTATGGTCGGTTGCTGGCTAGATTTCGCCCCGGAGACCAGTGCCAGCTATGATACATGTAGTATGCAGAGTATTTACCCAGTGCATGCTGGGTGCGCTGACAGGTTGGTGAACTGTGTGTAAGTGACATGTTGACAAGCTGTCATCCCCCAGCCACATGCCATTGTCCTACTTGCACACATGCAGATGTGCGCTAGTTGGTGAAGAAACACTGGGCATGCTGAACACAGCGCTCAACCAACTCTGTTTTCTCTCTACTGTTCACTCTCTGTCCACGTCACCGGATCTTCCCTTGAACTCTCTGTAGTTCTCTCTATATCTTTCTTTATTCTTTCTCTCTCTCTCTTCCTCACACGCATGGTGCCTCACTCTCCCCTCTCCCTGGCTGCACACTTTAACCACAGGTATCCCAATCACATCCTAATTTAGGGTGAGATTACTAACATGAGCATTTAGACACTACAGCTTGTTCAATGGAACCTGTCCATGGTCCATACCACGCCAGACAATACTGAACTGTGATACACAACACCACATTGCATCACGCAACACCACATTTCACCGCAATACACAACGCCACACTACATCACGCTACATCACACTGCCCTGCACTGCATCACACTACATCACACTGCCCTGCACTGCCCTGCACTGCATTGGCGTGTAGTCTACTTGTTCGCTCTGCACACTGCCTCAGTGTGTGTGACTGGTACATGGTACATGTGCTTGTGTGTGTGTGTGTGTGTGTGTGTGTGTGTGTGTGTGTGTGTGTGTGTGTGTGTGTGTGTGCATGTGCATGTGCGTGTGCGTGTGTGTGTGTCCCATACTGCATTTCACTAGACTAGTGCACATGCCGGTCACTGTACACTGGCCAACCGATGTTGCAATGCAGTCTATCACGTATTCTGCAGTGCGTGATCATGGAAGAATATGCTTCTATTGAGGACTAGATCTGTGTGTGTGTGGGTGTGGGTTTGGTGGGTTTGGTGGGTGTGGTGGTGGTGGGTGTGGTGGTGGAGGGTTTACTATGGAGAACGTGTAGCAAAATACTCATGTGTATGCGTGTGAGGAGAAGAAGACTGGTTGGGATGGTCGAGTCATTTCCCTAGAATGGATTTCAGTCTGTGCATGATTGGCCTTGAAAAACGGAGCATGTCGCAAGTGCTGCAAACGATTGCGTATTCTGGCGGGCAGACTGCATGATGTAAGCCGCATTGACAATGGCCTGAAGGCGTGCATTCGTAATATTACACGCTCTGGCTCTCTTTCTCCGGGTGTGTACATGCGTATGTTGTTGTTCGTGTAAGGGTAGCACTATGCATGTAGTTAATTATTGCCTACAGAGTCTGTGTGTAGACAAGACTATCTAGAGCAGTAATCAACTAGCAATTAGCAAATCTGTGCGCTCGACATACGGAGAAAAATGCTCGCAGTTGTTCATTGGCTCTGTGCCCAGTTCAAGAATCCAACAAGTTCAACCAGGCGAACACCAGCTCTGAAGTCCTGCGTACCGTGACAGGCAAATACTGCATTGTAGCACCAGTGGACTATGGCGTACATAGGGATAGTGGAGCACGGAACTGATCTGGATTGGTATCAGCTGTACGTAGACTGATGCTCGGAACCTATGATCGGGATTTACCAGAGGACACAGGACATGATAATCAGACAAACGTCATTAGCAGAATTAGTGTGATGTCACCATTATGACTACAAGTAGCCTATGCATGGGGCACACATAAAATTAATAGGATTTGATTGAAGCATTTCCCACACACACATACACACACACACACATACATACACACGCACACACACATACACACACACACACGGAGGCGTGCAGCTACACACACGCAGCAGCTAGTTGAGGAGGAGGGTGTTATGCTCGCTCTGAACAGCAGGCCTGCAGGCATTGTCGCTAATGACATTGTAGCTCACCTTACACTCTGAGCTTGGCCATTGTCCAGTGTGTTGTG